TTGCGCCTCACTGACAGGCTTTCCAGGCCGGAAAAACTCAAATTTCCGGCCTAGTGCTACGGTGTGCGAGCCACCCAGGAGCCAAACAAATGCATTTACATTTTTTTCACATTTTCGTGCCCATTCTGTCCGTGCGCGGGACCCAAACCTAAAACAAGTCCAGAAGCAGCCATGGGTGGTGGGGTAGGGCCCCTCAACGTGGCCCTGGAATCTGTCACAACGGAACGAGTGGGCGTTCTTTCACGGACTCCCACAGACCCAAGTCAATTTTTGAATTTTTTTAGGTTTGGCACGTGCTACGAGGTCGTACCTTTGATACAACATCCAGTGCTGGGACCTCCACAGCAAGCCATTTCCACAGCGCTGCACACCAAATCCAGGATGCCCTCAGAAACCGGCAAAGACTGCCACTCACGTTTCACTACTGCCTAGTACTGAATCCTACCTGACTTCTTGACACGACTCAAACTTGCCAAAGTCACTAAATCAACGTCAACTACAATAATCAAGCCACATATCTGCAACGTCACGAGGGTGCTGGCAAAAGTCCTGCTGCACGGCGGCGGGCTTCGCCCGCCGCCGTGCAGCCCAATACGTGGTTTTTTAACGTGATTTTTTGGACTTTTTTGGACTTGGGGCAAAATTCTGCACACTTTCGCGTGTTTCCATAATACGACAAGTTGCGCACGGTCTGCTCACATTCAAATACAGTGCTGCCAACAAATGACAGCATGCAACAAAAATATCTTTCCTTGCAAGGGCACATTTTCGGCCATAACTCTTGAACGGCTGGTCAGATAGGGACACAGTTTTCAGAGAATTTGCAGCTATTCATGCTCTTTCAGCTGACGTAGCACTCAATATGAATTTACAAATTCGATTTTTCAGCGAATTTTTGGGTGATGTGCCCCCTTAAGAGCGCACCCTTAGGGTGCGTTCTTAAATCCTCTCGGAAAAGTTGGAGACTCTCCGAAAAGTTCGAGAGCTGTTCTTATATCCTCTCTGACTTTTTGGAGGCTCTCCAAAGCTCTCCAAGCTTCAGAGGTGGTTGAAACTTGGAGATTCCCGCGGTTTGGGATCAGCGCATGCGAACTGCGACTAAAAGCCGCGTGTTCATCATGAGTGTACGCATTTCCCTTTTCGCAGACGCACGTGTGCACTATTACATACATCACTAAAGATCGGAACGCGCTTCATTTTGCTTCATTTTGCTTGACATGTGCAAAATATCTCCGAATTCTTCGAGACCCGTTCTTGAGTAATCCCAGTTTCTTCGACTTCGTTTTTCTTCTTCTCCTAGAAGCTAGAGAATATTAGAACGCACCCTAAGTCTCAATACCATTGTCTTCCTTCATTATTTTCGAGCTGGGAATGTGAACATAGTAAAAAAAAAATACATAAGCCTTTTCAAGTAAGCATGAAAACACGCAAATGCATAGCTGTGTATACGGTGTACATGCACATGTGTAGCCCTTTCCCAAAGACGCCAAAATATTGCGCAACTTATACTTTTCGCAACCATGCCAAAACAAGTGAAAGTTGCTGAAATCGCATCCATATTTTCAGAAAAAGCTCAAAAGTTGCTGATATCGCAACTCGAAATGATGCCAGAAACAACGAATAAAGGAGCGGAAATGGAAAACACTGTGGTACAGCACAACTGCCTGAGCAAAGCCATGCTTACTTTGAAGTACATCATGAATGCATATGTTCGCAGAGTAAAACATGTTAGCTATCGCCTAAGTATAGGAAGATGATGGAGATGATGGAAACAGGATATGCCGATGACATTTCCTTCTATTCGACTGAGCGACAATGTCTTGCCAACTCTCTACCCGTGATAGCTGACGGCCTGGGTGACTGGTCACTCAACGTTAACAGCAGCAGAACAGAGTGGCTTCACATCTCTGCCTCCACCACCGAATGGCGAAGATCGAAGCAACTTGGCTCTCTCTTGGGGGAAGAGGAGGACTTGAGCCGACGAATGGACCAAGCATCAACATCGTTTGGCCTCATGTATTCGCTCTGGATACGACGTCAACTTGTATCCGAGGAAACCAGGCTTCGTCTCTACAATGCCATCGTCCTACCAACACTGTTATACAACTGCTAAATCTGGGGACTGACAGAGGCTGAACTGGAGATGCTGCCGCCTTCCATAGACGTCAACTACGGAACTTGTTCGGAATTAGGTATCCTGCCATCATCTCCAACAAAGACTTATATTCCAGAGCACACACACAGCCACTTTCGCACACCGTTGCTGTCCGCCGTTTCCGGATGTTGGGTCATGTTCTGAGGATGCCCTCAGATGCCCCGCCACAGCAGGCAATGGACAACTACTTCCGTCGAGATGTCACCCGTGTGCGTGGACGCCCGAAATCGAACCTGGCCATGGCAGTCAAGGCAAGCACAGCTGCCAGAGACATGCCACTGAAGACCATGACTGATCTGAGTGGGCTTAGAATTCGCGCTTTGGACAAGCAATCATGGAGAGAACTCTCAGCCTGAGCTGGTTTTGGGGTAGTGAACCCAGGACAGAAGCGGACCAGGCATCATGACTTTGCACATCTATCGTTATGCTGCTTCATTACGCGACCTGTTTTATTATTATTTATTATTATTATTATTATTATTACTATTATAGGAAGATGAACAGACTTGAAATGAGACATTCTCCTTTTTGTTACTCCTTCTCAAAAAGCCAGACCTGATTATGCCAAACTGTATGCCCACATAATCCGCTTACCCCTACATAGTGGCATGCTGAGTGCTTCCACGTGGACTTACTTTGTTCTTCGAGAAGTACACTTGTCATGATGATTTTATGCAATGTTTCATTGCTTCTTGTTGAAGCGGATAGGAGCACCACGGGCACTTCAATGGTCTCCTTCGGGGCGCTCCTCTGGACGCAGTTGCGGAAGAAATACGAAATAGTTTGTGAAAATGAAGAAAGTTGCGATTTCTTCCAAAACAACAGAAAGTTGCGAAAAAAGTGGCGAGCATCTTTAGAGAAGGGCTACACATGTCTGTGTACACTGCGGACCCTAGTTTGTGTTCCTCTGTGTGTCTCGGTGTGTTGTTAATGCTGTATTCGATGACCGTAAGCATAAGGAGAAAGTTGCCGTTGTACGTGATCTTGTCTGTAGTATGTGTGCCCCGTTCAGTCGCTGTCTAGTATGAGATAGCTGGGCTGGTGATGCGTATTGCCTTGACGTGGATCACCTAACTCGTGGCCTTCTAAAGCCGGTCAAAACGCATGCCGTTTCAGTTTTATGGTATCGTGGTGTGTGTGTGTGTGTGTGTGTGTGTGTGTGTGTGTGTGTGTGTGTGTGTGTGTGTGTGTGTGTGTTGGAGTGGCTTGGGCACCTGGCTCGTCTTGATGACACCAGAGTACCGAAGCAGTTGCTGTTTGCCTGTCTCCCTCAGTCTCGGCCATTCTGTGGACCTCGTCGTCGCTGGAAGGACACCATTCACACGGACCTATCCGTGGCTGGAGTGCGTAACTGGTTTGAGTTGGCAAGCGATCGTGGAGAGTGGCGTGGAGTGGTGACAGCAGCAGGTGAGGACAAGGAACCTGCCCCGAAGAGCATCGAGTGCCCAACCTGCAACCGTCTGTTCCGCCGTAGTTCCGACATGGCCCGGCAGAAGTGTTCACCAATCCGTCAGCTCCCGGTATCGGAGCAGCCTGGATCAGTACAGTGTCCAACATGCAACCGATGGCTACGTAGCAGAGGAGGCTTTGCGGTGCATAAGTGTCGGCTAGGCGATGTCGACCAGCCGCTGGCCCCTGCCCCTGCTCCTCTTGTTGTTCCGGGTGTAACTTGCACCAACTGTCAGCGTTCATTTAAATCGGCTGCGGGTCTCAAGCGTCACCGTTGTGGAACCTGTCCAAAGCGCCCTACTGTGGCTGAACGCCAACAATTCAAGTTTCACTGCCAAGTTTGCCACAACCGACGGTTCCGGAGGCGGCAAGATCTGGAACGCCACTTGGAGCATTGCCTTCCTCCCCCCTAACCTCTCTGACAGTACCTCCCATCTGGGAGCGGCGTGGCCAATCCTGGCAGCTGTCAATAGTAGTAGTAGTAGTAGTAGTGTGTGTGTGTGTGTGTGTGTGTGTGTGTGTGTGTGTGCGTGCGTGTGTGTGTGTGTGTGGAGTGTCAAAACGCATGCCGTTTCAGAGTTATGGTCTCGCAGTGTGTGTGTGTGTGTGTGTGTGTGTGTGTGTGTGTGTGTGTGTGTGTGTGTGTCTGTCTGTCACGCTCACAATATATCGTGTTCTGCTTATGATCCTATGTGTTATGTGTAGAAGATTATAGGTTCTTGTGTGCTTTGTGTTCCTCTCTTCTTCGCCTGCGTTATCAGCACTGTTTTCTGCTCGTCACACGTTCACTTATGCCCCCCGCACACAAACACACACACGCACAGTGACACACACAGACACACAAACACGCACACGTGCGTGCTCGCGTGCACACACACGCACGCTCATGTATACGGTTTCTTTGAAAGATGCAAAAATGTCGTGTACATGTTGTGTGAGTCTGGTGCATTCACACGAACTTCAACGGTCTATGCATCTACCAACGGTCTATGCATAATACCATGCACGCGTCACTTCTCCTTTGAGGAAAGAAACCCAAAGCATATCAATGCAATCACATACATGTACATGTATACAAGCTTTAAGTATGTGAATGTACAAAGTATGTTTGTCTTGTTTATGCTGTATGTCACTTGCTGTGCCACCCGTGTTTCGTTCTCTGCTATTGCTACTGCACTGGTCTAGCCAGTAATTACTGTTGATAGGAGACTGAATGTGAACCTGGCTAGGCTTTGTTGGTGGTACTCTCATGTGTGCGTATCCGCGCTGGTTTGTATTCCTCCGACGGTGTGGCACACACATGTGATGTATGCGAGCTTGCGGCATGTACGGACAGTGTGGGCGTGCATCTGCGGCACGCATGTTTGGCATGTTTGTGCTCCACGTGTGCGTGTAGGATTCAAACGTGTGTAACGCAAGCGTGTGGGGCTGCGGCACATCCATTACGTCTGCGGCAGCGTGACATGGCCAGTATGTGGTGTGTGATACGGGTGTGGAAGAGTGGCGCATGGGCGTGTTCGCACTGTGCACGTCTATACTCAAGCTTATTGTCCACTTTCCTCGTCCCAGGAGTGTTTGGATCTGTGGAAAACACGTGAACTGAATACAGTGGAGTTAGTTTGAACTCTTGTGTGCTTTCTGTGCACAGGTTTATCTGCGGAATTGAGTATGGTCAAGAAATGCGTCTGAAAAACCTGAAGCACCATCGATTTTTCCATAACCATTACTCGAATATCCGAGAGCAGGCTCGAGGGCAACCACACTACCGAAAATTACACCTGTTCACGCCCTCCTTTCAGGTTACTGGCTCGTTTTTGCCGACTGCTACGAATCGTACCAAAAATTCAAATGTTCTCCTCCGAATAGCACCATCAGAAAGTCTTTCGGATAATTTTCGATATGCACCTCACGAACATACCACCTTCCTCCACCCATACACCACAAACAATGCATGTTCCATTCGACGAGGTGGGTGTCATGAGTGTTCTTTCACGTCAGTCGACCGAAAGTCATTTCAGGGTGAGAGTCGTTCTCAAGAAAAGATCGCAAAAATCAGTGTAAGTCTCGATGGAACGCTTGAGGATGGACTAGAATATCGTGCTATATTCCCCGGAAATAACGGCTGCTGATTGGCTGAATCCATGGTTTCCTTCCGTACTACGGGATAATCCACGATAAACTGGCTCTCAATTGCCACCACCCATGTTTGTATACAGCCATCCGGAGCAGAGAAACAGCCCGAAGAAAAGCAAATTTTACACATTTGTTTAATAAAATGTAATAATGCCAAATGTTTAAAAAAACCAAATCGCTTCAACGACAATTCGCAGAAAACATTTTCGACGAACGACTGTTCGTCGAATCCTGTTCGTCCCCAAGCCATTTCGTTGACTGGCCCATTAGGTGACTGTCTTTTTCGACGTGTGAACTTCACGCCGAGTGACAGAATAGACGAAAGGTATTTTCATCGACAACCTTTGTCGAGGTGTGGGATTTTCGTCGAATGACACGAAATCGACCTCTAAATATACCTAACAAAACCAAACGAAGGGAAAGGGAAATGTGCAAATGCAAGGCGAACATGGGGCGAGGACACAAACAAGTGAAGGGTGCGAAAGCTTTTCATGGCGTGAGCGTGGTGGTGCAATTCTAACAGATGGATCAAAACAAAATCTTTATTACATATAGGTATGCCCTCCCAACAATCAACCATATAAGGCATATCTCTTCAACCATTACATGTAGTCATACGACTATTTGGAAGTTCCTTGAGGGAGTGAAGACGGAGCAAAATGCAACAGAGAACACGCTCGAGCGTCTTGTTGCAGGCGAGGCACCGCCCAAGAAACGTACCAAGTACCAACATCGCGACACACGGCTGAGAGCACTGGTAAGCTCATTTGAAGGCAGACCATCACTGGGATTCTTGCGCGGAATTGCCCACAACCTGTCATATCCAAATGTGTGAGGAGAATCCTGACAGAAATCCTTGTTTGTTTGCTTGATCATCAAGGAGCAGTAACTACATAGCTCAGCCCAACGTTGTTCAGAATCTCATAGCATTCTATTGCCTTCAAGCACGTGTTATCTGATCCAAATCTCCACGATGTAATTGTTGATAGTTTACAATGATCCTTCTTTGCTTTCTCTGTTGCCGCCTCGCAACATGGCTATGTCCCTTCATTTTCATCTATGTTTTACACCTGTGTGTGTTGTAATTGTTGATAGTTCACGCCTTGTTTACAATGATCCTTCTTTGTTTTTATGTTTTACACCTGTGTGTGTGCACTGGAAATTCCACTTCATCTAAATCAAAGTTCCTGTAGGTATGAGGTTACTACTGAAGCATAGTTTGAGTGGTTGTCCAACAGGCCAGGCGATGAAAAGACAACTCGTCTAAGGGGGAAGTCGACGAAAAGACCAGTCCTCGAACAAGGTTGTCGGCCAAAATGTCAGACGGCGAAAAAGGCTGTGGGCGAACCGGGTTGTCGTCGAACAGGTTTCGACGAACTGTCGTACGTCCAACAGGTTGTCCGCGAACAGTCGTGATAGTGCTTTTCGTGACGATTCTCGAATTTCACTCGAAATTTCGATTTGCTGATGCTCCGTAATTGCTTCCGTAATAGATGGGAACTTGGAGAGCAGAGCCGGAATGGGCTGTACTCGTGCAGAAATATACAAAAGAAAGAACAGCTTCAAGGATGGAAAAGTTTCAAGACTTTTCTGAAAAGTCATCGAACCTCACCCGTGACTTGAAGAAATAAAATACACTGGTATGGGCAGGTCAACGAAGTTCTTTGTCAATGCTGTTACCATGATACGAAAGGATGGGTAACAATACAAAGAGCCAGTTTATCACGGGTACAGAAGTGCCAAAACAATTGATAACCGAACTACAATAGCATGTTCATGTCTACAGAAACAGTCCAACAACGACTACTATAACAATCATGTTCTGTTCGCAGACCCGGAGTTCGAAAATATTGAACAATGTCCTTGAAGCTACACGTACATGTGCAAGTACATGTCGAAAGGAACAAATGCGATAACTTCTGCACTTTAGTGTAACACAATTTGCCAAGTATGATACATGTACTAGTTCTATCTGTCGTGACATGACCTACGAGACTAGGAAAATCAGGAACAATTTCAATACCTGTCTCAAGCCGGCTGTTGATCTTGCCCGTCGTCATAGTCTACATGTATCTCCGCTTCACCAGAGTAGGCAGGTTACCACATACTAGTAGACTCCTTCTTTGAAAATTCGTCGGCAGTGAAGAAACATCATCAAACTCAACCGCAGTCAATCATTTTTCCAAAATTCCGTGGTGCCAGTTTCACTGCTCTGGTGCTGTTTCTTTCATATCTATATTTATTTATTCCCGTAGCTATGCAGAAGACGTTACTTCAGTAGCGTCTGGCGCTAGCCAGGGTCCACACAGCTTTAATTCCCGTAGCTATGCAGAAGACGTTACTTCAGTAACGTCTGGCGCTAGCCAGGGTCCACACAGCTTTAATTTGGTGTTTGTTTGTTTGTTTGTTTGTTTGTTTGTTTGTTTGTTTGTGTCACGCCTGGCGCTATCCCGTATCTGTCCCGTACCGTATCGCATAGCTGGCCATTTGCTGGCTCCCGTATCTGTCCCGTACCGTACCGTACCATCAAACACAGCTGGCTACAAACAGCTGGCCACAATATTATGTACAATGTACATGTATACGTTTCCCTGTGTGTTGCAAATGTGCTTGAAGGGGACGGTTGCACTTTTTGTAGCTCCGTTTTATCTGAGTTTTCAGTCGTTCCTCTTACTAGTCTTGCCAAGGGGGTGGCTCTGGGTCCACCAGAGTTGCCCCTGGCGTATTTCTGAATTTGCTGGGGCGAGGGTTCCGCGACGCGGTCGCCAAGGCAGTGTCTTTTCAGTCACGACCGTTGTCGTCCTCGTCTCTCCATTCGCGGTGGTGTAGCTGACCCCCGAATGGTTTCAAACTGCGAAGCTCGGAGGAGTATAGTGGTGGCAGAGGCATGAGCTGTGAGTGGAGACGGTTGCTGGAGATGGATGGTGATGCAGGGAGAAGAGTTACGCTGCCTGACGGCGCGTGGGAAATTGTTTGAACCTGAGATTTCAGTTCGAGCGCGGTGGACTTCTAGACGATGTGTCCTCATGGCTGTTTTTCAACGCTTGGCCTATCGCTGATATCCCTGCGTGGGATGTTCTTCCAGTGGAGTCCAGGTGGGACTTCGGGTGCCCACACTCCATCACCTGGTTGATTGTTTCGGAACTGCAAAAATAATTGTTTCCTATTTTGTGCGCATCTCTTGTCATCTCTCTTTTCTATACGTCGCACACCAGATGTACTACTATCGCCGTCTTTCTCTTGCTTTCTCTCCCTGCTTGCTGTTTTTTTGTTTCTGTTGCCACTGTCCCTCATCATACACATGCTTGGGTGGTGGGCGGCGTGACCCGTTAGGGTAGCTGCCAATACAGTACGACTCCCTGATGTATAGAGAGACTTTCTGGAAAGAAATAGGGAGACGAGGAGGAAATGAAATTAGAATGGATGTTAGTTGCCGAATAGGTGATAGGATGCGTCAGCAAAAACATACTTTGGAAGAGAGATCCCGTTGTCTCCAAAATAGGCGTGAACGGGCGAGTCAGCGCCGGTCACAGGAAACGTCGGCAGAGTGATCCCGTCGACTCCAGAACGCGCGTGCTCGGCAGAGTCAGAGCCTTCCCAGGAAACATTTCCATCAGTTCCCACAACATGCACGATGAGCTAAGTAACAAAGCATAGCGTAGGGCCCTGAGCTTCCAAGCTCTCTCGTTTGGTGTTTGTGTGTTTGTGTGTTTGTGTCACGCCTGGCGCTATCCCGTACCGTACCGTACCATCAAACACAGCTGGCCACATACAGCTGGCCGCACTATTCAAATAGGGCTTTCAAACGCAAGACCATAACGTTAAGCAACTTGGAAGAATGAGTATGAATGCGAAGTGTTTGGGGGAATGCATGTAGGGCGATAGTGTGGGTTCGAATCCCAGGTAATGCCTGAAAAAAAGGAAAATTGAAAAAATGATCCAATGGCCGAAGCAGAACGCAAGCATGCGGACTCACTACAATGCACAGCGCACCTCACAGAGCAGATTGTGAAGAACGAACCGGACGCTGATGTCATGGATAGTGTTGCGCACGACCGAGAGCAAAAGGCAGTTGTTCACCAGCGTAACCGAGCATCCGCAACAACCAGAGCTAATGAGGTGCAGAGCAGGCTGCCGCCACTCCAACAGCGAGCCATGTCATTAGCCAGAGAGAAGGGAGGCTCTAGTACGCTCACGTCCATCCCAGTATCGGAACATGGGCTGTGTTTCGACGCGAAAGCCGATTTCCATGATCATGTCCACCTGCGCTATGGCTGGCCCTTGGATAGGCTGCCGGATACCTGTCCCTGTGGAGAGCGGTTCACTGTGGACCATGCCCAGATATGTAAGCTGTCGGGCTTCATTCACATGCGCCATGATGAGGTCACCAATTTCCTAGCCTCATGCATGAAAGAGATCCACAACGATGTGGAAGTTGAGCCGACACTCCAACCCATCACCGGTGAAGCCTTTCGCTATCGTACTGCCAATGTTGAGCCCGATGCGCGAGCGGACATCCGGGTGCGGGGCTTTTGGAACCATAGCCGCAATGCATTTTTCGATACGAGGGTGTTCTATCCCCACGAAGCGAGCTATCGGTCCCAGCCCATTGCATCTATTTATCGCAAGTTGGAAGGTGCCAAGAAGCGGGAGTATGGCGAAAGAGTTAACCAAGTTGAACATGGCTCGTTCACACCACTGGTCTTCTCCCCTTGCGGCGGAATGGGTCCAGAGGCAGACATCGTCGTCAAGCGGATTGCTGATGCTCTGGCTTCTAAGCGCAAGGAGAGCTACAGCAAAGTCGTTTGCTGGATGCGCTGCTGCTTGGCTTTCTCTTTTGCTAGGTCTGCGATCCGGTGCGTTCGAGGATCACGCTCCGTTCGCCGCCGTCACATCAACCTTGTGCCTGTCGACCTCGTCCAGGCTGAGGCTCGCCTTGCTACGCATTAGACTGTCTTCACAGCCATTTTAGCTCCCTCCTTATTGGACTGTTTTCACAGCCATTGTATCTTCCTCCGTATAAGACTGTTTTCACAGCCATTTCAGCTCATTTTCTCTCGGTACTAAGCTGTTGACCTTGTACTTGTGTTTATTTTGCCCGTACAAGAGGCTTGGAACCTCGTAAAAAAAATTATAACACCCCTATTCTTTTTTTTGCCGTCATCAAAGCAGTAGATGGTGTCGTATTACCCTCGACCGTACCTGTCCCGTACCTGTCCCGTGCATGTCCCGTACCTGTCCCGTACATGTCCCGTACCTGTCCCGTACCGTACAGTGCAATCAAAGACGGCTGGCCACAATGCATATTCAAATACGGCTTTGAAATACAAGATCATAACGTGTAGCAACTTGGAAGAATTAGTATGTATGCGAAGTGTATCGGGGAATGCATGCAGGGCGATAGTGCGGGTTCGAATCCCAGGTTATGTCTAAAACAAAAAAGTAGAAATTTATAAGAATTTATAACATCCCTATGCTTTTTTGTCTAGGTCATCAAGGCAAAAAAGCATAGCGTAGCGCCCTGAGCTTCCAAGCTCTCTCGTTTATTTCACTCAACTCTTGCCTTGGTTCATGACCAATTGGCACGCAAAGTGCGAGAGAGGGGTGATAGCCAACCACGGCAAGAAAAGAAAAGAAAGGAATATAGAAAAAGAGAAGAAAGAAGGATAGACAAGAATCCAGCAATGAGATCCTATCGTACTACATAATCTTCTCTCGTAGACCTACTCTGCATGGTCTTACACACAACCGTTGTCAACATGAAACTGACCTGAACTGAATGTTTGAAAGCTGTGTGTACTGACATATTGCAAGCGTGCAAACCTGAACCACAATCATAGACTATAGAGGTCTGGCCGGACATTACGCCTGAACCAAGGCCTCATGCGTACGGCGGCGGGCGCAGGACAGCGCCTTGGCCGTACGCACTCGGCCTTGATTCAGCTGTAAAGTCCTGCCAGACCTCTAGGCTCTATGGTTGTATCTATACCTTACGTAGCCTACGTGTCAAATAGCGGTGTCGTTAGGTCTTGCCATGTGAACACAATACTGTAATACTAATAGAAAAGCTGACAGGATCGCTTTTCTAAATCGAACAAGGCTAAGGTGGTTCCATTGTAAGCTTCCACGGTGACACCAACCGTTTGGTTCGGCGAATTCAAAAAAATAATAAGTGCCTATCTAGCTACCCACTACCAAGAAGACCCTTCAGCATGTGTAGTGTGTAGGCGAGCACTGCGGTCGCGTGTAAATAATTTCAGGGCTCACAGTAGGCATGCAGGATCGACAAAAGTGTCGTGCGAGGGCGGGTTTGGTGCACGTGAGTCGCGTGACCCCGGGAGAGTACCGATCGTGTACATCCCACGCATCCAAAACAGAACAGAAAAGAGAAAGAACCCGAGTTGTACTTGTACCATGTGTACTGTTCTCGTAGTTTTAGAGCCGATGTTCGCGATATTTTGGAGGAGAAGGCGAAACGCAACCTGTGCTAGTCCCAGTAAAAACAACATGCCATGTTCGACCAAGAGCTGATCCTACATTGAGCGATCGTGATGATTCCACAGGTAAGAAGACAAACAAACGAGTCAGAGCTCGCCAGGCAGGTAACGCCGAGAACATGATGATACCACACGGAGCTGGTGATCGGATGGAGGTGAACGGGACCAGCAAATCCACCGGGCGTTTGTCGAGGGCCACTGAAGACCAGGTTTCCCAGGGTGCTAGTTCCTCCATGATGGCGAACTGCGCTGCCACAAGAACTCCAGCGAGAATGAAAGCACAGCAACCAACGCCGCGGGCGAACTGAGGAGAGAACACTGAACAATCTGTGCACAATGATTTTCTCTTCGACGGCACGCGTTGCTGTTCTGCTGCATGCATGCGTTTTTCTTGTTGTTTGATCTTCACACATTTTCGCGCAAGCGGTTGCGCGCCGCTGGGACTCGGGTTACTAAAATTAGTACAGAGCATCTCCCCCTTGGTCGATTTGGACAATCTATGGCTCAAAATTTTCAGGAGACCCTGGCAAAGAAATTTACCGAGACGTTTCTGGATATTCCTTTCGAATGCTGTACTATATCTCACGAAGTTTACGCATGTGCTCTGGCATACCCGTGTGAGTAATGAAAATTTGTTTCGGTAAATCTTTTGGAACACCTGTCTTCTATGCCTGGGCCAAGTCTCAGCTTCGTAGAACCAGGCTGAAGTGCTGCTAACTCCTTCAAACACCCCCTACTTCGAGCAAAAATGCGACGAAATGCTGACTGCTGATTGGCCAAGCTGGCATTTTGGAGCACGTGCACCGCCCCCATCTAATCGACGCTTTTCTACGCAACTGTGAGCCCTGATTAATATATCAGTCAAAGACGAACGTGACCTGGTCTACAATCTACACGTATGAATCTGCAGAAGACTAAAGCAGTAGCGACATCGAAGCCGTGTAGACAATCGTTCTTAGTTGCATGCAGTCAAGCATTAGAATTTTAGAGTAAGATGGATGTACTGAAGAGCTGTTGGTAAAGGTAGTCCTGTGTCTTCCTGAAGGCTAAAGGCTTTGCGAGCCGTGTTTGTGCTCTCGACGACACTTTCAAGTAACAAACCAAATTAATTGCTAGCCAGAGTTCTGTACAAAACCTAGCGAGTATGTCCTGGAGGAATTCTGGTAGCAAGGGGGATCATCAAGACAGAGATAAGACAGGGAGAAAGGACGACGACTTCGTCATGGTCGACGAGAGGTCCCTGCGTGGATTTGACGGCGAACACGCTGCGGCAGACAGCCCCACTACGGATGGATCACTGTGGGCCAGCATAAAGTCCATGAGAAGTTCGCCCTTGACTTACATCAAATCTAAGTATAGTCGAGAGAAGTCTACGCTGAAGGAACAGACAGAACCTGAGGTCACTAGATCGTTCAGTGCGCCGAAGTCAGCGCAGATACTTCAAGAGCTCCAGAGCGCTATGATGCAGTATGATGACCAGCCGACCGAGAGCGTCGTTCCACCGGAAAAACAGGGATATTTCCTAGGCCAGAGCCCAGAGCCCCGTTCAAGATGGCCTGCAGGACATCCTCGTGTAGCCGGTTCTAGAGCAAGACTCAGTCAACCGGCCTTCAGTTACCGTTATGAGAGCAGGCGTGAGTCAGGAGAAGCGCAGCTTAACACACCGCTACATCCCTGCCTCAGGCCTGTGACCCCCGAATTTCATCCTCATGACCAGTCTAACGATCCTGAGGGCGTGAAAGTCAAAGAGTTTCCCCCTGGCACTTTGAGTATGGCTGCACATGTCAATCAACAGAGTGGAACCAACGACAACCCCTCTACAGCTCATGACGGGAACAAAGAGAATGATGATCAGGAGCTCGAAAGGTGGCTGTCTGAAGACAAACTCACTCAGGCGGGAGCGGCACCAGGAGTAGATTCTTCGCCTCCCATTACCTTGCTTAGGTATGCGGGCAAAAGTTCTGAAGATAGTGACTCTATGTCGTTCCTTGACCATGTGATTGCAAGGAAATTGCAAAATAGAGGCACTCCGAGCGACGAAACTGCAGACTCAGCGGACGAATCTGATGAGTCCGAATCCAGCTGCGGCAGCGCTAGTGCGAGTATGGAACAAGACGAATCACTAGGTAGTTCGCCGGAGACGAAGGTGGTGGAACCGCCACCGCCGTCACCATGCACCAGCCAGGGTACGTCGGCATCAGATAGAACGGATGCTATCGCCGTTGAACAAACTTTTCAGGATTCCGGCCTTGCATCGGATTGGAGCGACAACGAGGATGCACCCGAACTGCCAGACTCTGAATGTGAATCCGGCTGCAGCGAGCTTGACACCACTACAGAGAGTGTTCCAGTGGCTTGTGATGGTGCAGTCGCTTGTCAAAATCCAGGATGCAAGGCTGCCCCGACAACCGCCAACTCGAAGCTGGGAGTCGGCCCGACTTTCCAGTCAACAGCTAAACAACCAGATGAGGATGCATCATTTATACAATTGTCTGCACCAGGAGGGCGAGCGAGAAAGGCAGTCGCTGAGGCAGTTTCTGTAGCCGAAAGTTTGGAACGTGAAACTAATCAAGCTCTCTTAGCGAAAAGTGCAACAGTTGAAGAGCTGCTGCACACACAAGGCCACTCCCAAGATATAGCGAAGGAAAACATTGCTAGTAAACCGATGGACAATTCTGTTAGCCAGGCGAGTTGTTCCAAAAGCCAGACACAAGGACGAGAAACTTCCAACTTGAGTCTTAGACGAGAAGGAAACGTTGACATTGCGTATCGTTCAAGTCCTCAGTACCCTGTGTCTGATTCAGCATACGCCAACGCAACATCTATTCCTGGCACTTCCTCACGCAAATCTCAGCTTTCCAACGATGGAGCACACAATAAAGTTATGTCGGATCGGAGACAGGGGTGCGCCAAAGTGTCTCATCGGCTGAATGACCGAGACAAAGTGGACAAAGTACGACAGAGAACACTTCCATCAATCCAATATCGCCAATCTGCCGAACATGACCCTGCCGGCGATACCTCCCATCCTGTCATATACAAACCACCTTTAACACTACGCGAGCGGCCACATGGGCCGTATTATCAAGACGCGCGCCAACAACTGGTGAAGAAAACTGCGCAGGCAGCTACAGGAGACGCCGCCAAGTCATCCAAATTTCCTGGGAGGACAGGCATTGCAAGTGCCATTAGTCCGAATACAGCTGCGGTGAGCAATGTGTTTGAACAGCCTCATGGCAGCCATCAGATTGGGGCAATCTCACACACGATGAATGCATCCAGTAGCAATGCAGACCAACTGTCATTTCGCAAGAGATCCACAGTTCCAGGCTTTCCCGCAACGCCTGCTAGACGATCACCCCTGCCTTCTGACGTGGGTAAGGAATTCTGGTCAAAACTGCTGGGCGTGTCAGCGTCCCACGAGTTGTTGACGCAGTCCGTGCTGTTGTCGAAGGGCCATATCTTAGTGCCGCCAATCTTCCGACTAGGAGCACCATTCCACTGCAAATGCAATGGGTTGGACAGGTTTACGACAGATCCCAATGCATTCTTTCAAACAGTACGATCGGAACTCAAGTTGAAACGACTGCTGGCCAATCCAATATGTTTTGCGGCGCCCAGGCAGAGCCGACCCAACAAGCCGGAGACGGTAACGATCTGCAGCTCGATGATCTTCCTGACGGGGAAGGGCTCTCATGCGAAGTATGAATGCGTACTGGATTTCAGAACAGCTGATGGATACGAACCTGGCGGTGGCCATTGGTTAATAGCCGGAGTCTTTCTGAAGAATCTGGCAGTTGACGACCGACCATATCACCGCTTATGACCACACAATCTTTACACTTGCGAGGTCATGTATGTATGTATGTGTGTGTGTGTGTACGTGTATGTATGTGTGTGTACGTGTGTACATGCATGTGTGTGTGCGTGCGGGAATATGTGCATGTGTGCGTGAGTATGTGCATTTATGTGTGTTGGTTCAGGTGTATGTATCCGAATCTGCTGACAAATGATATCTGTACGTTTCTCACCGTGATGCTGGGCACTGTTAAAGTGCTGAGACTCAAAGCTCAGGAGCTCCGGATACGCACATGTAGTTGCAGGACACTTTCGGAACGCGCTGCCATGTCGACCCGTTCCGTCTTTGGGTAGTAACAGTACAATCTATACCTCAGCGAAGACTTGGTGTGGTTATGCCTTTGGAAAACAAACAATATTATGGACTCGGATGGAGAGGCAAGGAAAAATGTATCGAACAGAAAAGGCCAGTTAGGTGGAGAACGTCAGTACCATCAGTCAGTGTCGTGCAATGTTATCGCATGAGCTAATGGTTCAGTAGCTGCTGGTGGACTTGTGGACCTTATAGCGTAACTTGTAGTTCTTTGGTCTTTTCTTTTCTATAAACATGAATATGCATGTATTTTTTGTATTGTATTTTATTATTTTACTTGGGCATTCCCAACAGACCCTAAGGTCTTCTTACAGGGTGCCCAAGATGAACGAATTTGTCAAGTCCCTGGCGAAATGAATTGGGGATAACACGTCGTCATTGTTACTTGTAATGGCGATCGATTTGCACTGTGTGGCAGAATCCTATCACTATTCATTCTCAGAGGATATCCTGACCTGTGATGGTTAAATTGTTATGATTGTACTACTCAGCTGTCTAGAGGCGTGGAGCAATATTATCTCTCAACGGAAGTGTCCTTGCTGGTGTCTGTATGGTTCGGCTGAAGAGCGCGTGGTTGTGATGAGTTGGGAATGAATTGATTGTGCTACTTGCCAATAAAAATGAACAGTACGCTGAGGCTAGTCCGACTCACTAACAGTAGTAATAATTATTTCGTCACATAAACCATTAATTTACCCTCTAGCTTCCCGGGGTTTTCATTCCTTTCGAATCTTTTTTTTCTCGTTCTGTGATACACAAGTAGTCGCATGGTATAAGTAAGCACTGTGCGCCGTCTTGTAACATGCTGGTAACCTGTACATAACGATACTAATGTTTTGCAATGTACTTGGGCAAGAGTAACATGGAAATCACATTTTGTCTGAACTACTGCAGAAGTCGACTCGTATTCAAACCGTTCCTGCTGACTCACTGCTAGTTTGTCGAAGTTGATACGTTACTATTTATTCGTGAAGACTTGGGAACGGAAACAAAACATGTCATGAGAAAGAACAACAGGAAAAAGAAGCACACTCAACTAATCCGTGTGTGTGCGTGCATGCAGTACAACTATGACGTAATGAATATAGATACACATCACGCCCCTTCGAGATGTTGCGAAACCTGTGACAGCAACATCTATCATAAATAAAACAAAATGAAGAATGAAAACAACAAAGCAGAGACAGCAGAAATTGACATTAGTGATCAAGAGTGTCAATCATAGGACTGTCCATGATGCGAACCAATGTTTAAACGCTGGGGTGGCTTGCGCTGACGTGCGCTGCGGCGGGACGGCGGCGGCGGGGAAGAGGCGTCAGCAGCAGCCGGTTGGACAACAAGCGGTGCAGGCACAAGTGGGCGATACGGACGCAGGAATCTGCGGTTCCGCCAATAAATGCGACCACTCGGCAACTTCACTAGGTAGTCCCGATGATTACCGACAGCAACAATGACCCCACGAATAGACCACTGCTTGGTGCGCGGATGCTGAACATCCACGTGGGTGCCGAGGCGGAGCTGCGGCAACGAGCGACGAGTTGACGACTTGTCTGTGACGGCATCGTCGGATGGCATGGCAGTCTCATCACGTGTCGTCGCTTTGGAGAGCCAGGATGAATCAAACTCCTTCCAATGTGCAATGACGAATGACTGGAGAGAGCGGCCATATAGGAGCTCAGCGGGGCTCTGACCAGAGGAGCCAGGTGTGTTTCGCCATTCCAGTAGCCCTCGGCGGAAGTCATCTGTGTCAAGATTGCCATTCACGGTTGTCTTGGTGATAAGACGCTTCATGGCTTTGACAGCAGCTTCGGCGTGCCCATTACTCTGCGGGTAGTGGGGAGAGGACATGACATGGTTTACCTGCCAGCGCTTACAAAACTCAGCAAACTTATGCGAGGAGAACTGGGGACCACCATCTGTACACAGCACAGCAGGAACACCAACATCAGAGAACCAGCGACGGAATGCTAGTATCACGTCATGCGATGAGGTGGTGCGGCCAGTACGCGCGACACAGGGCCAACCGGTCAAACGATCTGCATACACAAGGAAGTCGTGACCTTGACAAGTGAACAAATCGGCAGATGCACATTCAAACGGTAGTGTCGGGATGCGGTCGTTCAGCAGGGGCTCAGCTGGCTGGGACGACTGGTGTTCGCGGCAAGCAGGACAAGAACGAACGAGTGTATCAATGTCCTTGGTGATACCGGACCAGTATACAAGCTGACGCGCACGAGACTTAGTACGCACTAGGCCTTGGTGTGAAGCGTGGAGGTTGTGCAATACCTGAGCACGCAATGATTCAGGAACAACAATGCGGTTGCCCTTCAACACAATGCCATGGTCGACGGAGAGATGCTCACGTCCATTCCAGTACGCACGTAACGGAGCAGGCAACTTCTGCTGGCAATCAGGGAATCCAGTCAAGATACACTCAATCAATGACTGGTACGTGGCATCTGCAGCTGCAGCTTCCCGCAGCTCTGCAACCTTGAGATTCGCATTCGGCTCAGTGTCCGAGTGCACCATGCAGATCTGAATGCTGCGGCAATGAAGCGACGGGGCTTCACCAAGCTCATCAGTGGTGGAAGGAATGCCAACAGGATTCCGGGACAGCGCATCGGCGAAGGCATTTTCAGAACCTTTTCGCCAAGATGCCTGCAGCTGATAGGCTTGGAGCTTGAGGCGTAATCGTAGAAGACGCGGGTTCTCGATCTGATCCAACGAATATGAGTTGATGATCGGAATCAGGGGCTTGTGGTCGGTGACGACTTCAAATGGCGCACCAGACAGGTAGATGCGGCATTTGCGCACGGCCCATACTACAGCGAGCATTTCCAACTCGATGACAGCATAACGTGTTTCAGCATCAGACAGGTAGCGGGATCCACACTGAATAATACGCCACTGATCATTCTGCTTTTGCCAAAGCACGAATCCGAGACCTCTTAGAGCGGATGCATCGGTTTCAAGCCGGAGGTCTTGACCAACTTGATAGAAAGCGAGAACCGGAGGAGACAAGAGAGCTTCCTGTGTCCGTTCAAACGCTGCAGTGTGGCTAGCGTCCCACATGAACTCACGGGAGGTCTTGAGCAGGCCACGCAGAGGATTGGTCAACTCGGCTAGATGTGGAGTGAACTCACCACATTGGTTCACTAGACCGAGGAACGAACGGAGATCGGTTCTGTTGGCGGGTACTGGAAACTGGCGAATACCGGACGTCTTATCATCGTCGACGACCCAGCCATCAGGCGTGACGTTGTAGCCGCAGAAATGGATACGTTGCGTACCGAACACAAACTTGGCGGGGCTGAACGTGATACCATGCTCCCTGGCGCAGAGCAGAATCTCGCGCACGTGGCTGACATGCGACAGAAAGTCGTCGTCGTACGCTAGGCAATCATCGACTACCTTGCCGAGACGCGGGATGGCAGAAAACGCAGCATCAGTGCGCCGGTTGAACTCATCCCCAGCAGATATTAGACCCTGCGGGTTCCGTAGATAACGATATCTGCCGTACGGGGTGATAAACGTGGTGAATTCCTGAGCAGTGTCACTGAGAGGAATCTGCCAGTAGCCGTGCCTTGCATCGAGCTTCGTAAAGAACTTAGCAGAGCCAACTCCAGAGACAACGTCACGTGCCGTATGTACGGGATGCGCGGGACGACGGACTTGGTCGTTCAGCCGCTTGAAGTCAACTGTGAGGCGCTTCTCAGTGCTGCCCTTCTTGTCTACTATGACAATCGGATGGCACCATTCACTGGGCTCCGTCACTGGTTCAATGATCCCGTCGCTGACCATGCCGTCGAGCTGAGTCTTGATCTGGTCACGGAACGCATACGGTATTGGTCGAGCAGTGTGCACACATGAAGGCTTAGAATCATGCTGTAGCTCAATTTCCATTGGCGGACCTTCCATTGGCTTCAGACCTGAATCCGAGAAAACGTCAGCGAACTCTTGCAGGAGCTGCTCACGTGTCCGTGCTAACTCAGCATCACTAGGATGAGCGCATGACGAAACAGCTGCACAGATCTTGGGTGAAGATGCACCCTCGTGTTCAGCGGTGAATTGGACTGGCCAATCAGGTGGGAGAAACTTCAGCGCACGCAATGAGGTATGAGAGAGCAGGGCATCGTGTAGACCCTTGTACACATGGATGACGGTTTCATGCTGCGTCTCACCGACTCGTAGAGTCGCACGTATTTTGCCCAGGTTGCGTAGCGGCTCACCGGTCACAGCCTGCACACAGTCGTGGTCGTCATCTAAGTTCTCGACGAACCCACCGATCTGCGTGAGGTGCTCCTCGCCAATGGCATCAACGTCACTGCCTGTGTCTGGTGTCCAGGACAGTTGGGATGGCTGATCCTCTGTTTGCAGCATGGTCGAAACAGGTACTGTGCGACGGTCCACGCGAGACGCACGCTGTAGCTTCAGCTGTCCAAGCTTGGCAGCAGAGCTAGTCTTCGGCTGTTTCTGGCCCTTGCACATTCGCTGAAAATGCCCAATGCCGTGACAGGAGTTGCACTTCTTGCCCTTGGCAGGACATACAGATTTCGTGTGGTCAGAACGACCACAATTTGGACAAGTGGACTTGGCCACACTTGATGTCTCACTTGGCTTAGAGTCAGCTGGCTTGTGACGTTTCTGCTGCTTGTACGCCGACTGCTTGGCAGCACTTGCCTGGAGGCCAGGACTGGGCATGTGTGCCTTGGTGTGGTATGCTGCTTCCTCCGTCCGACAGAGGGTGACAGCCTGGTCGAGCGTGAGACCATGAGTTGCGAGCAACTTGTGTCGCGTCTCATCGTTCCGCACACCAATGACGACGCGGTCGCGCAGAGATTCCTCCTTGAGGGTACGGCCGAGGCCTTTGCACTGCGCACAGCAGCGAGCATCACACGTTCCACATAGGCTGTGTGACAAGAAGTCGCATGCACTTTGTAGTTCACACAGGGCTGTGTAAAACGCATCAAATGATTCTCCAGCTTGCTGGACACGCTGGTAAAACTCAATGCGGTCCAACAGTGGATTACGTTGCCGTCTGATATACGCCTGAATGCGCTCCAGCATCAGGTCGACGTCAGCTGAAGCTGGTATGCAAATAATATCCTCTCGGATAAAACGTCGCAGCTCCTCATCGAAACACTGACGGAGTGTTGCCACTCTGGCCTCACGAGCCTGGCTGGCCAAATGCTGGCAAACACTAAAATCTCTCCAGCTTTCAACGAAGGAGTGAAAATCAGCCAGCGTCGCAGACGACAATAAGTGTGGGCAGGAAACACTGTTCACTGGCCGTGGTGCTGAGGTCTGCGAGGTGGACTGCGCTGGTGCTGAGGGCTGCGGAGTGAACTGAGGCTGCGATGGTGATAGCGACCTGCTCTGAACATTCTTGAACAGATCTTGCATCGCCTTATCACGAGCCTCAGCTGCACGCATCTGCTGCTCCATAAATTTCATCAGGACACCCATTTGAGATTCCTGCTGTCGCTCGGTCGCGGAGGACAGGTCAAATCCGGTATCGTCCTGTGATTGTTCCATTACGATTAGTCACTCGTCCACGAGTACGAACAAATACACTACTAAAATAATTCAACTGAGACAGAGTTTCGATCGCGGAAACTACTACTTCATACGGAAAAAACAACTGGGCCCGTGCAAACACTACAAGGTGCGGACACAAGGCACGGACACAGGAAAGAACAAGTTCACTGCGCCATGATACGTTACTATTTATTCGTGAAGACTTGGGAACGGAAACAAAACATGTCATGAGAAAGAACAACAGGAAAAAGAAGCACACTCAACTAATCCGTGTGTGTGCGTGCATGCAGTACAACTATGACGTAATGAATATAGATACACATCAGAAGTAAGTTAGTTTGATGCACGTCGCTGATTCTGTGTGTCTATCTACCTGTGTGTGTGTGTGTGTGTGTGTGCGTGTG